GGACTGTCTCCTGTATCACACGTGTCTGGACTGGGTATAAGAGCTGCAGGACAGTCCCAGCGCTGTGTTACTGTGGACAGACTGGACCTGCGCAGACATCCCACCAAACTCAGCTGCACCACATCTCATCATGCTGTGATAAAGACCCAAAGACCCATGAAGTTTGGTTCGGGAGGAAAATGTCCCGGGAGGCGGCGCTCACCGATGTAGCTCCCTGCCGTGGCCCGCGAGTCCACGGCCACCACCACGCCCCCCCGGAACTTGAAGGCCAGCGTGGTGGTGCCGTGCTCGAGCTCGATGGACACGCCGCCCCTGTCCGCCGAGCAGGACTGCAGGAACGCGGCCGGCTGGGGAGAGAGGGGATCGGCCATCAGTCAGGTGACACCCAATTAACAGCCAATCAACACCCAATTAACAGCCACTCGCCTCCCTCAGGCTGCGGTCTGTTCCAGCTGTGCAAGAAGAGCTCATCTGCCTGTCTCTCTCTCTGCCTACCTGCCTGTCTTTCTCTCCCTGCCTGTCTGCCCCCTCATTCTCAGCTCCAGGCCTGCGGAGCAGCTCTTTTATAGCGCTTTTCTGGACACTCCACTCAGAGCGCTTTACAGGTAATGGGGATCCCCTCCACCACCACCAGTGTGTACCCCACCTGGATGATGCGATGGCAGCCATAGTGCGCCAGAACGCTCCCCACACACCAGCTCTCAGTGGGGAGGAGAGCAGAGGGATGGAGCCAGTTCAGAGAGGGGGGTTATTAGGAAGCCAGGACTGGTAAGGGCCCATGGGAAATGTGGCCAGGACACCGGGGTTACACCCCTACTCTTCTCCAGAGACACCCCGGGATTGTTAATGAGCACAGAGAGTCAGGACCTCGGTTTGACGTCTCATCCGAAGGACGGCGCCTGTTTACAGACCAGTGTCCCCCGTCACTATACTGGGGCATCAGGACCCACACAGACCGCAGGGTGAGAGCGCCCCCTGCTGGCCCCACTAACACCTCCTCCTGCAGGGTGATGTGGCTGCTGACTGATCTATGCGATAAGCCCCCCAGGAGTTTTACATGTTTGGGGGAAAAGCCTGAAACTGAAACGCGCCGCGGTTCAGTTTCCTCCACGACCCGCGCACAGCCCGCGTGGCCCCGGTCTCGCCCCACGCTGCACCAGACCCCACGGGTGCGGGAACACGAGTGTTTCAGCAGGACACGGGTCCGAGCCGAGAGGCGCGCTCGGGGCCGCGGGTTCCGTCCCGGCACCCGGGGGAGGGCCAGCCCGGCTCGGCGGCTCGGCGGTTCGGCTGCGACTCACGTCCACTCCCAGCGGCACCGCGAACTCCTGCCGCTCGGTTCCGAAGCTGTAGTGGCTGGTCCGGTCCAAGGCAGCCCGGCCGGTTCCGGAGAGCTGCTCTCCG